ATGTATTATAATGAACATAATTTCCTAAATACACTTTTTATTTATAAAAATTCAATAATAAAGATTTTTCGAATATTTTTCATGTGAAGTGGTTATAAAATCGATTTTCTCTGTCATAGGAATTGATTGGTATTTATAGGTGAAAAATCTTATGTTCTTAGTGCTAAAATTTACGTTCAAAATAAAGAAACCTTCTGATTGCTTCAATTATTTTTATGAATAAGTAAATATTACGGCTAGAAACATTAAGTTATCCTTAACTTATCTATAAAAATTATTATGAAGAGGATAGTTGGGGTGATCAGTCAAAAATAAAAATGGCAAAAATATTTATTTTAACATTTGCCGATGTTTTGACCTGAAGTTCAGGCCTTCATCAGGGCTGAGAAAAGAACCAGATAACAATTGGTATGAGAAACATAAACAATGTAGGTAAAAAAAAAAAAAAAAAAAAAAAAAAAAAAAAAAAAAAAAAAAAAAAAAAAAAGAACTTAAAGTAAAATGAAGTAGATAAGTGAACATTAAAGTAAAATAAAAGTAGGTGGAATAACAAGAACTAAGAAATAAATAATAATAACGGTTACAAAGTGTGGACTAATGAAGTAAACATAATCAAAATAAGATAACATAAGTACTAAAATGGTAATCTTAAAATAAAATGTAAAACAGAGAAAAAAAAATATGAAGTTATAAAAGAAATAAATATAAATAAAAAAGTTGAGATATTGTAAATAGAATAGTTAAATAGAAAATTGAGGTATTGTGAAGTCTATCAAAATGTACTGACTACCTATAAGGAATAAAGAGTTAAAATAAAGTAAACAATAAATGAGCAAATGTATCAATATATACAAAGTGGAGATGAAAATATGAAATAGAGTGAAAAGGAAAAGGAAGGAAGAATAAGATAAGATAGATAGTCAACTGACCTGATCGACTATTGATCGAAGAGATCGCTATTGATAGAATGCAGGTATTGTAGCAAGAGAGGGGGGAGCTGTATTGTTGCGTCATCTCTGATGGTTGCTTGACAAAGTTTGGAACTAAAGTACCGGAAGTGTATATAATGGACAGAAGATATATTACAGATAAATATTATGAATAATTAAATGAAAGTTTAATTGAAAGAGGATGGAAATAATCTGGAGGTAGTATAAAGCGGATATAATAAAGATTAAATACATGTGAAGTAATAATGGAGAATATCTGAAATTGATATATATATATTTTCTATGTATATAATATATATATATATATATATATATATATATATATATATATATATATATATATATATATATATATATATATAAGAAAAGAAAACGAAGATGAATTATATTAAGAGAAGTAAGGAAGTTGTCAGTGAAAAGGAAAAAGGAGATTGTTATGGATGTTTTAATTTGGGAACAGACTAAGGATAAGTTTTGTTTGTCTGTTTTTAGATTCACTGTCTTAGGTTGTAGCTGGATGTGGAGGATTTCATAGATGAGTCATTTGTCATGGTTAGGGATGGAGGCAAGAATGGAAGTTTTGTCAAAATCAAATGTATGGTTTAGGGAGAGAGAATGTTTGTATAATTTGGAGGTGGTAAGATTACGAGAGGATATAAAAATTATTATTGTAAAAAAATAAAATCAACTAATGGCATGCATCTTAAATGAAAGATAAGACAATAATTGAACGAAATATGAGCTGTCAAATCAGTAATTGTTTACAAGGTTGTATTTATCGTTGGACAACACTAAAATCGAAAACAATTATGATCTTCTAATTAAACATTCCTGTTTTATCTTATTACGTTGTATTAGAAAAAATTCACCATTATTTTTTTGTCTTGGGCATTTTTGAGGGTTATTGTAAGGTTGATTTTATCGGAAATGATTTTACATAAGAGTTTTCAGTCAACTGGGCCTTTCTGTCACGATATTACAGGATTCTTGAAAAAATGAGTTTTCTTGAATATTTTCCAGATGATTGGAACCTATTTATTGATAGTTCAAAGCGAAGCTTGAAATGTGTTTTTCTACTTAATGGGAACAAATATGGTTCTATTCAAATTGCTCACTCGACAATAATGAAAGAAACATATAGCACCTAGCTTTGGTATTGTGAACATCAATGGGTGATTTATTAGGACTTAGAAATGATAAAATTTCTTCTTGGACTGCAAAGTGGCCACACCACATGTTTCTTGTGTCTCTGTGGTAGCAGAGACAAAACACACCCCTCAGTTAGACCTAGAAGAGTGCCTTAATAGAGAAGACATGGTCATATGAGAATATAAATTTGTTAACGAATTCCTAGTTGAATGAGAGCAAATCATCTTTCTTCTACTGTATATCAAGCTGGGTCTTATGAAGCATTTTATAATGGCTCTTCATAAGGACGTATCCTGCTTTGTATTTATAAAGGAAAAAATGCCTCACTTTAGTAATAAAAAAATTTAAGCAGGAATATTTAACAACCCAGTATTAAGAAAATTCCTTAAGAATCAAGCCTTCATAAATTCTATGAATAAGGCTGAGCGAAAAGCCTGGACTTCATTTTTTGCACATCAATATACTGTAACGTTCCTCTAAACGTTAACTTAATGTTAAAATTATAATCAAGAAGGGCTTACCCAGTGGAGGGGGAGTGAGTTCTTCCGTACTATTTCTTCTTTGTAGGTATTATTTTATAATAATTTATAGCATGTATATAATCAGCTAATTTATTTATAATAGGAACAACATAAACCAAAATTTCTCACAATATAATCAAAACAACGTTTACAGTCCATATATCCCAACTCTCGATCTCTCTATAACCTTCCTTCAAAAAACAATAATAAATCTAATATAATCACAACACCTGTTATTTTCAAATTCTGTCATTTAACCATTTTGTCAACTGTGACAATACTTAGAAATTTCAAATTCTTTAGGTACAATGTGAGTATTAAGGTTTACTATTTACACAGCCACCTGGACTGTTTCCTGAAAATTTAGGAAATAGCAATGAGAAGAAAGATGAAAGATTTCGTCTAGATATGAAAATTATGGAGGATCTCTATCATGGAAGATGGGATACATACATGATGGCAGATTAGAGCTAGTTTAGGAAGGAAATATTCCAAGATATGTTAAAGAAGGTGAATGACTCTTCATAAGGACATATCCTGCTTTGTATTTATAAAGGAAAAAATGCCTCACTTTAGTAAGAAAAAGATTTAAGCAGGAATATTTAACAACCCAATATTAAGAAAATTCCTTAAGGATCAAGCCTTCATAAATTCTATGAATAAGGCTGAGCGAAAAGCCTGGACTTCATTTTTTGCACATCAATATACTGTAACGTTCCTCTAAACGTTAACTTAATGTTAAAATTATAATCAAGAAGGGCTTACCCAGTGGAGGGGGAGTGAGTTCTTCTGTACTATTTCTTCTTTGTAGGTATTATTTTATAATAATTTATAGCATGTATATAATCAGCTAATTTATTTATAATAGGAAAAACATAAACCAAAATTTCTCACAATATAATCAAAACAACGTTTACAGTCCATGTATCCCAATTCTCGATCTCACTATAACCTTCCTTCAAAAAACAATAATAAATCACTAGAGCTAGTTTAGGAAGGAAATATTCCAAGATATATTAAAGAAGGTGAGGAAAAAGAAGCTTCAGAGGTGTTGATAGACCAGTTGGTTCCATCAATGAATTGGTTTTATCTTTGTATATTTAATAATATTAGTATGCACTAATAATATTTGTATAATATAATAATAATATTTGTGTAATTTAATAATAAAGTTTTCATTTTTAATATTTAGATTTGAATCATGGATTCAACATTTTTTGTTTTGTTTTTTCTATGCCTAAGTAACCCCTGCTTGATCAGCCATGCGTACTCTTGCAGTGCAATATAATTTTGCTCTCCTAGCATAAGGGCTGTCCATCTCACTAAAGGAACATCTTATATCCTGTAATGCAAGACATGTATCAAGATGTTCTCCTGTCATAATATCCAAGGAGCACAGAGGGCATGTTGAGCTATCTTTTATACTGATGCGATGGAGGTGCTTCTGCAGAAAATCATGCCCTGTGATCATTTTAAAGCATGCTACGGCTTGCCCTCTCGGGAGGTCTCGGGATCCTGCCTCTTTCTTCCAGCAATCCACTCCATCGCTTCCCTTAAATTTTTTGTGCATATTTCTGCTTCAGTGAACTTTGTAGGATCTGTTTTATTATTCTTTTCACTGAATCGATGCCCAGAGGAATATCTGGTTGGGTCATTCCAGAACCTATTCTGGTCAGTTTTGTCAGCTTCATCATTTCCGTGGAGCCAGAAATGGCCTGGTATCCACTGGAAACCGACTTCTGTCCCATTTCCCTCAAATCGGTCCAAATATAGATGCCATTTAAGGACATTTGGATTCATATTATATCCATTTCGGAAAGACAAAATGGCTGCATGTGAGTCAAAAAAGAAAGCAACTTTCTTGTCTTTCCATTCAACCAATCTCTCAAGGCCTAAGAGAAAGGCTTTCACTTCCCCTTCAAAGTTTGTGGCTACCTTTCCGACCAGAGCAGCAAGTTGAAACTCCTTTCAATAAACTCCAGCTCCGGCATGTTTGCGTGCAGAACCATCAGTATATACATGGAGCCATTCTGTTTCTGGTAATAGTTTTCTGATAGTTTCTAGAGTTATAGCCTTTAGTTGGTAAATTGGTGTTGATTTAATGTAAAACATCCATTCCACCAAAAAGTTATATCTTAATAATGTGAACTTCTAGGCGAAAACTAATGCTATATTTGAATTCAGAGCATCAAATTCATATGAAATCAACTCCAAGTACCTCGGCACCAAAACGACTGTGTGCCTGTGTTATGACTTGAATGTAACTTATAATATACTTATGATTCAGAACTATCTAGTTTTGTATATATATATATATATATATATATTCACAGATTGAGACATAATTATTATTACAAACCATTTGATTTAATTGTTACAGTACTATTCCAAAGAAGGTATACCTAGTAGATCTTTAGATGAAAATGTTTGTGCTGTCTGCAGCAATAAACTCCCACATATTGCTAATGATGATGGAAACAAAGAAAAAACATACAGACTTTCTTGTGATCATGTGTATCCTTTGTATTATATGAGGGTTTATACTAAATTATTTTATATTTTACCGTTTCTGCTAAGTTATTTATTATTGATCCTTTGCTTGACTGGAAGTGAGAGGATTATTACTACTATTAATACTTGTTATTTAATAAATTTAAAATGTGTTAACTGTAATAGTATAAAGCATCAAATTTTAGATTTAGGTGTATAATTTCTGTATTTTTCATTTGATTCATCCAAGCAATTTTAAAAATTTTTTGTAAGATGCCTATATGTTTTGTTATTATTTTCATCAACTATAAAAATGATTTATTAATTTTTAATAAACAATTATACTGTATATTGAATTATAAAAATCAATTTAATTTTTTTTTTCTGTTGGCATTATAGACTTTGTAGATCTTTTGCCGCCTCAACAATCCTCCACCATCTCTGCCTAACTTGTGCTATTTCTTTCCAGTTATCTGCATGCAGCTCTAATGCATCTTTGTTGATTCTACCTATCCATCTGTTTTTGGCCTTCCACATGGTCTTTTTTTTTCTTCTATTGCAGCATTCATTGATATGGAGAGGCTTCCAGATGGATTCCTTTGAGCTACATGCCCCGTTCATCTTAACCCCATGCCTTTATATCATGAGATTTGATTTACCAGTTTTTGTAAGCAGCTCTTTATTGGTCTTTCTTCTTCATGTGTAAGTACTCTGATTCCAGATCACTCTGTTTATCATGTGGGGAGTATTTTTCTCTCAAATCTTTCAATACTTTTTTCTTGGGCGCTGGTTAGTTTCTAGGTCTCACAGCCATACATGAAAATTGGCTTTATCATAGCATTATACACCCTCAATTTTAGATGTTTCGGGATTTCAATACCTTTGAATGGTAAAAGAAAGCTCTGTTTTCAGTTAGTTCTAGTTTCGAAGTTACTTTTTGCGTAATAGGAGGAAATTTCCTGCTCCCGTGTTGGTACGATTGATTTCTGTCTGTGAATCGTGGAAAATGAATAGCTGTGAATCACAGAACCATTTTCCTGACAGTTGTATGCAGTGTTAACAATTCAAGTTACTCTTGACGTGATTTTTCTTGCTTCAGGCATTCTTTCAAGGATTTTTTTGTCATGATAACTCAGTAGTTTTGGTGAAGTTACAATGCCCAGGAAGTGTGCGAATGCTCCTGACAACTTTTGTTATATTTGTGGGGAAGTAACCTTTGCAAGTCAAAAACGTGTTGTCACCCAGATAATCAAGCGAGCATACCACAAGTATTTTGAGGTGAAGGTTGGTGACCAAGATAAACTGTGGACCCCGCATATCTGCTGCATCATAATGGTTCGTAAGAGAATGGTTGAACAAGTAAGGTTGTTCAATGATTTGCTGTTCCCATGGTGTGGAGGGAGCATACTATTCACACTAACAACTGCTACTTTTGCATGAGCCCTCCTCTTCATCATGGAATGTTTCGAAAATAGAAATCTGAAGTGAAATACCCTGACATTCCTTCTGTTATACAGCCAAACAACACGAGTGCGGATTGCCTGCTCCAAGGCCTCCTGAACACTATGGCTTGAATGAGGAAGAGGATAACAAATACGAAAATCCCCTAGGAGGAACCCCATAAAATTATTCTGACTTTTCTTTCAAACGAGAAGAATTGAAAACCCTGCTTGCTTACTCAAGCTGAACTCAGTGACTTGATTCGGGACCTGTATCTGTCCAAAGTGAAAGCAGAACTTTTGGATTCAAGATTGAAGCAATAGAACTTCTTACAACCTGGTGTAAAGATTACCATGCACAGAAATTGTATGAAAGACTTGATCCCCTTTTTCAAGTTTGTGAACCTTGTTGCCCGTTGTGATATCCCAGGTCTGATGACAGCATTAAATCTCAATCACAACCCTTCTGAATGGAGGCTGTGCATAGATTCATTAAAACTATCCCTCAAGGCAGTTCTGTCGCACAATGGCAATTTACTTCCCTCTATCCCTATTGGCCATGCTGTCTACGGATTGCGGACTACCAATGGCAAATCTGTGGGGACCTGAAAGTGGTGGCAATTCTTCTAGCCATGCAACAGAGATATACTAAGTACTATTGTTTCTTATGTGAGTAGGACAGTCGGGACGGAGCATCTCATTCCATGAGGAAAGAATGGCCTCAAAGAGAAGTCCGGACCGCTAGACAAAAAAATATTCTCTACAGCCCTATTCTTATATTCTTCAGGGTAAAGAAAGAGCAGCGCGAGAATCATTTACAGCTGCTATAATAAATTGTTTCTTGGGTAACAATGATCTTGTAACTTCCAATAACTTAATTTTTTGTATTTAATACTAGTATACATATCTGCAGAACCGTAGCTAATATAAGGATTCTGACAGAAAATTCGAGTTTCTCACACCAAAATTAGTCAAGAGAAACAGTTTTCATTGAAGATACGTGCAAAAAAAAATTTTTGTCGGCCAGTGTTATCATATATTTTGGCTAGTCTTCATTTACTTGTTGGCCGCTTTGCTCTGCTTCTTTTATCACTTTACTATTACCAGTTGGAGTGGTTATTTGGTTACCTGACATAAAAGTTATCTGGCGCTACAGTGTAATATGAACCTTGGCCTCCCTCACAATTTGTCTCCAGCTATCTCGATCCATCGCCCTCTTCCTCTACGCAGTCATTCCAACTAAGCAGTCCAGTTTTCCTGCTTTCGTTATCTAATTGAAATAGCAGTTCTTTTAAAGCGCTTTCACTTTGGTATAATATCATCTGCATAACCAACAATCTGCATAGTATGGCTTGCAAGGTTACCACTCCGAACAATTTTTCTCACAGCTTTATGGAGAATTAAGTTGAATAGAATGGCTGATAAGGCATCTCCCTGTCTCACTTCACTTTTTTACCTGATTTTGCGAATGGTTTGATTCCCAATTAGGACTCTCGCTTGCGTTTGAACTATTGTCATTTTAATCAAATTGATTAATTATAAGGAATGCCGAAAACTTCAAGAGCTTACTAAATAAAGCTAAATCCTGCTAACTCCATCAAAAGCCTGTTTATAGTCCACAAAAAGCTAGTGAACATCAGTATTGCACTCATAGCATTTTTCTAATATCTGTTTCACTAGAAAGATCTGGTCCGTGGTCCCTCTTTTAGGACAGAAACCACAGTAGTAATCCGTAAGGATCCTTTCAGAGAAGATCTTAAGCTTTTCCACTATCAGCCCTTACATAATTGTGTATATTGCATTCAGGAGCATAATTCCTCTATAGTTTTGGCATTGGGTCTTATCCTCTTTTTTAAAGGTAAACAAGATCAATCCAGAGCACTAACTGGTTGGCATTTTTGCATTTGTCCAGATGCTATAAATTAAATCATACATCCTTTGATTCAGTAGATCTCCGCCTATTTTGAGGATCTCACAGGGAATATTATCTTCTCCAGGGGCGCGGTTATTCCTTAGTGAAGCTATGGCATCTTTAAAATCCTTATAGCAGGTTGTTTGCAATCAGAATTCTCCATTGTACTCCTCCTAATGTCCAATCCACATTGTGCTTCTTTCTGAGCTGGGCCGTCCACATTAAGAATTTCTTCAAAATTTTCTGCCCATCTATTCATAACTTTGATGTCTTCTCCTAGCATCATTCCATTTCTATCGCAGCATACGTTCATCCGTGGTTGAAACCCATTTCTTATTCTCCTGACAGCCTGGTGAAATTGTCTTTCTTCTTTGTTCTCCTTCAGTTCCTCCATAGCTTCAATCTTCTTCTTAATCCACTCTCTCTTCTTTATGCATTACTTGGCCAGTTTTTTGCCTACTTTCTTGATATTTGTCTCTATTACCTCTTGTATCTTTCTGGAGCATTCTCTTTCTATCTTTATTCTTTTCATCTATGGCTCTTACGCATTCCTCATCAAATCATTCATCATTCCTTCTTCACACTTCCTGGGCAGCCACCTGCATTGCATCCCTTAATATACTCTACTCATTCTCTATGTCGTCCCTTTGCTCTTCTTGTAATTTAGTGCTTAGTGCCTCTTGAAAACATACTTTTGCTTTTTCATTCCCGAGATTTTCCAGATTCCATCTCACTCTTCTTAGCCTACTAACTTCCTGCTCTTTACTCAATTTATGTTTGAAGATGGTTCTTACTAAGAAGTAATCTGAATCACAATTTGGTCCTCTGCAAGCTCTGATGTCAATTGTACTAGAGGCACTTCTAGCAAAGGCAAGTACCTGGTCAATTTGATTTATGGTAATTCCGTCCTGGCGCTTTCCAGGAGCCCAAATGGATGTTCTTGTGTCGGAAGGTAGTGCTCTTTATTATATATTGCCTCGATGCTACAAACTGCGCAAGACTATGCCCATTTTCATTTCATTTATCATGTAAGGTAAAAATACCTGCTACTCTTCTTAAAAAGCTTGCCTTACTTATTTGGGCATTTAGATCTCCAAGTATAATAACTGCATCATATGCAGGAACGCTATCACAAGTCCTGCTTAATTCTTCATAAAAAGCATTCTTTTCCTTCTAAAAAGCAATCATACTTCTCTTCAGTAGGCGCATGGACCGACAGCAGTGTCAAGTTCCTAAACTTTCCTTTAAGCGACAATTTACATATCCTGCCACTATTAGTTTCCTCGTTGATTTATTCATTATAAAGCCTGCCCCAGCTGGTCTTTCTTTGTTGTGTCGCCAATGTAAATAAGTGTATATTTTTGAGAAGATTTTATTTTTATTTGTTTTGTTTTTTAGTGGTTTTCATACTATTTTTTAAATTAATGTATGTTGTAACGTTCCTCTTTCCCTCCAAAATCAAACAACGAGTTTCCTTTTTCAATATACTATTTATTTTAACACATATAACATAAATCTCAGGTTGGGTTCTGACAACTGAACACTCATTCAACATTAAATAACTATAATCTACACTAATTTACTAATTACTAACTACACTTATATATAATTTAAATAGTTTTATAAAATAATTTGTTCCGGTCTAAACTTTTGGTTCTATCCCTCTGTCAACA